TGGCAAGTGCAAGGGCCTGAGTTCAATCCCCAGTTCCACCAAAAAAAAAAACCCAACTACCTGGGATAAAAAACTATGTGCACATAATGAAATGTGGGAAACCACTCAATTTTTCCATTTATCTTCACATATATTAAGCAACTCATACTAAAAGAAACCCAATGTAGATTATATGAGAAAGCTTTTTTGTGTTTTGCTTTTTAAGTTGATTATGATCATTCTTTGTGGACATAAGGTAAAATTTCATATAAAAAATAGAACAACAATAGTAAATACATTGTAATTATCTTGTACTTTATTTAAAGTAGTTGCTCTGAGTACAATAAAAGTTTCTCCAATATTAACACAAGCCTCTTTAATGACCTAAGAGATACTAATAATGTAACTTATTAGCATTTTTCCTTTTTCCCTATTGTTTTATACCCATCCTAGTTCCTTAATTCTTTTGAACAATTTCTTCCCATTTCCAAATACCTGTTGTATATTTTCGTTCTTATTTACACTTTCAATTTTTCACACAAGAGACAATATTTTTACACATACGAGTCTCATTTCACTTAAGAGTATGATCTCAAGTTGCACCCATTTACCTTTGCAAGTTTTGAGTTTATCCTTTATCACTGAGTACTACATTGTATAAAAATGCCGCATCTTTTTTAAAATCTATTTTTCAATTTATGGGCTTTGGGGTTATTTCCAAGATTTAGCAGTGACATATTGTGCTGTGGTAAACATGAGTACGTATATACCGCTGTGGCATGGTGTTTTAAAATCTTTTTGAAAAGATACTAACAAGGGGAATAGCTAGCTGTATCAAATGGAACTTCTAGGTTTTGGATTTGTTTTGTTTTTACCAATCCCTATACTTAATTTCCACAGTAGTTGTACCCCCAGAAGTACAGATTGGTTCCTTTTTGCCTACTGCCCTTCAAGGCTTTGGTATTGATTGATTTCTTGGCGAAAATCATTCATTGTGGGGTAACAAGGAATCTGTGTTTTAATTGACATTCTCAGCTGACTTGTAATGTTGAACTTTTTTTTCATGTGTTTATTTGCCATTTGTATTTCTTCATCTGACAAACATATTCATTTCATATGCTCATTTTTGGGTTGAGTTCTTTTTTCTATTAAAATATTTATTTATTTATTTATTTATTTATTTATTTATTTATTTGTATTTTTAGGGAAGAGTCTACAGGGTGTTCAGGATCTCACCACTGGATTGGACTCCTAGTGATCTTCCTGTTTACAGCCTGTCAGGTGCTGGGATTACAGGCGCACACCACCACGCCTAGTTTCAATCATGGTTTCAGTGTGCCCTGGGGGCAGGGCTGGCACAGCAGGCCCAGGGATCGAACCTCAGCCCCTTAATCCACTAAGCTATTTGGCCGCCCCCCATTTTTTTAATTATATGTTCTAGGTAGAAGTTCTTTATCTCGGAGACAACTGCCTAAATTTTTTCCCCATTCTGTGGGTTATCTTTTCACTTTGTTGGTGATTTCTTTTGCTGTGAAAAAGGTTTTTTAATGAAAGTGAGATCCCAATTCTTGATTCTTTGAAGTATTTACCATGTAATCTGGGTTTTGCTCACACCTGTATCTTCAAATTTTCTTCCAATAGATTTATTGTTTCTGTTTTAATATTTAGGTCCTTGATCCATTTTTACTGTAGTACATGGTAATAGACATGGGTTTAATTTTAGTCCTCAGCATGTAGAGCCAGTTTTTTTTTTTTTTTTTTTTTTTTTTTTTTTTTTACCATCACTTTTCCTTTTATAGATATACTGCTCCATCTGGAAATCCAGGTTGGTGCCACCTAAGTGGGTTCCTGCAGCAAGGAACTTGAGGACGTCCTCCTCCTTCATTTGCAGGACATCAAGGGCTCCGGACATTGTGAAGTTTCCCTTTAAGTTACGATGGGAATCAGGAACAACGCCGTATGGACCCTACCGGGGAGCACGGAAAAAGCTAGAGCCAGTTTTTCTAGTACCATTTATTAAAGATGCTGTCATTTTTTTCCAGGGAACATGTTTGACCCCTTTATCAAAGATGAAGTGGCTGACTGTGTTTGTAGTTGTGTCTGTATCTTCTCACCTGTTGCACTGGCTCTCAGCTCTGTTTTTTTGCCAGTACCTTCTGATTTTATCACAGCATTGTAATACAGTTTCACATCAACAATATCATGCCTCCTACCTGCCTTTTTTTTTTTTTTTTTTTTTTACCGGGGGTTGAACTCAGGACCCTGCACTTGCCAGGCAAGCTCTTATTCTATTGAGCTATGTCCCTGGCCCCTCTACCTTATTTTTGTTGACAAAGACTGCCTTTGCTATTCTAGGATTCTCCTGGTTCCATATGAATGTTAGGAATATTTTCTCTAAATCAGTGTCATGCTAATGTTATTTTGATTTGGGTTGCATTACATCTGTATAACCATTTTGTGGGTAGGGCCATTTTCAATGAGCAAGGGATATTTTCATTTTCTGATATCGTGTTTGATCTCCTTTTTTAGTATATTGTAACTTTCAGTGTATAGATCCTTTCACTAGATTAATTCATAAGGATTTTATTTTTTGGATGCTATTGTGAAATGTGTGGTTTCCTTAATTTCTCAGTGAGTTTGTTCTTTGTATACAAATATCCAGCACTGCTAGCTACTAAATTTATTAAATCTAGAACTTTTTGGTGAAGTTTTTGGGGTCTTCTATGTAGAGTATCATGTTTTCTATGAATAATGATGATTTAACTTCTTCCTTTTCTATTTTTATTCCTTTTATTTATCTTTGTCTATTGCTCTGGCTGGTGTTTCAAGAACTACATTGAATAAGTCATGATAGTGAACATCCTCGTCGTATTCCTGATTTTAGACTGAAAGTTTTCAGTTTTTGTTCATTTAATATGACGTTGGCTATTGTTTTGTAAGAGATGACTTTTATCAGATTGAGATAAAGATCATCTATTTTAATTTTCTGTAGGATTTTTACCATGAATGGATGTTGGAGTTTGTCAAATTTTTTTCTGCATCTATTGAGATAATCAAGTGATTTTTGTCTTTGGCTCTGTTAATGTGGTACATCACATTTATTGACTTGTATGTTGCAACAACTTTGCATACCTGGAATGAATTCAATTTGGTCTTGGGGTATCATTTTCTTGATGATTTGCTGCATTCTGTTTGCCAGTATCTTACTGAGGATGTTTGCATATATGTTCATTAGGAAGACTGACCTATAGTTCTCTTTTTTTGAATAGGTGTTTCTTTGGGTTTTGTATCAGGGTAATACTTGCCTCCAGGAATGAGCTAGGGAGTATTACTTCCCTTTCAATTTCTGGGTTCCTCTAGCGAGGCTGGTTGCTCAACTTACAGTTTAGGGGCATGGGCCAGGCTCCTGAGTTCCTCTGGCCAACTAGTTGCAGAGTTCTGGGCTCTTCCTGTGCTGGTTGCCTGTCCTGTGGTGTAGGGGGATGGGCCTGGAACCTTAGTTTGTTTTTTTTTTTTTTTAATAATTTATTATATGTTCTAGAGAAGTCATACTT